GGAGGAGGTGGAGAAAATACCGAGCGCGTTTTACGCTCGGCTTCCGCCTCGAGTTCCCTCTCGGATGATACTTTTGGCTCGCTTTTACCAACCCCCTCCCCCGCTCGCTCGAGCGCAGGGCCGCCCCTCCCGCAGGAGCGTATACCTCGAATCCTGATAATTTTCTTAAACGTCAAAGTTCAACGGAAAAATGCGCGGTATGATCCCTCAATCCCCCCCCCCCAGCGCCGAAGTACTCGAAAACTTCATTTTTTATTTATTCGAGTGTACTTTGGGGGCGCCGCGGAGTCAAGTATATGGGTTTTGCGCGCGGGCACATGTAAACAGTAAGGTATATACGTATTTACGCGAAATTGATACCTGCACTCGTTAAAACGAACGCGGCCGTTGTCGGGGGAGAAACAAAAATAATAATAATAATAATCATGGGCCTTACTTCGTAATAATATACATTTCAATGTGGGCAAAACAACGAGCACACGTCAGACTTATTGTGTGTAGACAAAAGTACCAATAGCGCGAGAGAATGGAAAGGTCGTCAGGTGCACGTGGGCGTGTCACGTAGACGGAAACGGAAGGTTATATACACATCGAAGATAGTCTCTCTCTCTCTCTCGGGGTGATTGAGAGTTATGAGTCCTATAAAGCGTGCTTTCTCTCCGGGCGTCGTCTTCTTCGGGAAAACTTGACGCTGGTCCAGATACCGCCTCGTAAAACGTTATGAGAATTAATGTCCCTCTCTCTGCCTGTGTGTGTGTATATACACGCGTGTTGTGTGTCTGTGACGATGTACGCCCCGTGCAGTCCTTTCCTTCCTTCCTTCGTGTAGTGTGGCGAGTGCTGCGGCAATTTTGCGGTGACCGACCGGCCGCCGTCACCGAAGAGAGCTAAGATGCCGCAAATGCCCTTTACCCTACGACCCACCCTCTCTGCTCTTTTATCCCCCTTTGGCTATGGTCAATTTGCCCGTCATGCCCCGACCGCAGCTTCTCCTCCTCGGCTGCGGGAAAAATCGATGCCGATTTGTTGAAAACATATTTGTCAACTCGTGTTTTTAACTGCCGAGCAATGGACCGATGTTCAGTGATAAAAACACGAAAGCAATGTATATGCGGGTCGCAGTGATCAGCTTCTTCCGGTCAGCTTAGACGATGATTTAGTGCGGAGGCATTGATTGGGTCGATCAGGCTCATCATCTGATCTTTAATCTCTATCTCGCCTCCCATCATCGGCGCGCTCGACTAGATCGAATCAATTTTGCGCGGGGCTCTCTCGCCTTCTGTCTACTATCATTTTTTTTTTTTTTTTTTTTTTCTTTCTTTCTTCATATGTACATCGTGTTGTGTACCCTCCTTTTATTTTTTCTTGTCACGTCTTTTACATTCGCGCTTCGGCTTAGCTCTCGCATTAGTCGCTGTCGTCGTCGTCGTTTGAGAGATTGTACTTACATTGCCACAATTGAAAGATTACTTTGTTGGGTTTGTTTATTTTTCGTGATTCCAGCTATCGTGAGTCATGCGCGTGTTTTGTGTTGTTTTGTTACAATTATATACGTACGAAATGAGAAATGAGAATCTTACTTGTTGTCTTTCGGTGCCTCAATTTGAAGATGGAATTTTTGAATGAAAAAAAAATGGATCAACAGTTTTGCTTCGATATTAAAAAACAAAAACAAAAATAAAAAATCGTTTTTACAGATAAATGTGCAAAAGTATGAAGTATTATTTTTTGCCAAAAATATAGATTTCAGGTATAACCTATCATTCCTCATTAAATATTGCGGGTCACAAGAGTCAGATGTCATAAAAAAAGGGGGAAGGGCATCGATGTCATACCACAATGTTTCCAAATAAGCGCGCGACAGGCCAATGATTCCCCACCAAACAAAAAGCTCCGCTCTCGTCTCTCATATTTCAATCAATAAGCACCTACACGTATACACCGTACAACCGGCTGACGGTCCGCTCCTTCTTTTTTACTCTTACATATTACCCGCGTTATACCTGTACCCCCTTATCGTGCTTTTTCCCCGTGTTCACTCCCCCTCTTCCTCATCGCGAAAAAAAAAAAAAAAGAAAAAAATGCTTCCTCTCTCCCTGAAACGCGTACATCATTTGCGACGCGGGCTTTGCGCTTCGATTAAAATTAATATTAGAACCCGTGTTTCTTCGCACAGAAAATATTCGCAGCGGTCCCACACCCTTTCCGCCTCGGCGCCGTTACCGAATCTCTTTGTGTACAGCGGCCGATCGATACCTATATACTTTTTCTTTCCTTTTTTTTTTTTTTTCATCCCACGTATAGCGTATATAGTTACACCCACACCCTCGCGGTATCTCGCCTTTGATAAAAAATACTTTGTGTCTTAATTATACGAGTACGCGCGGCCCCTCGATTACATTTTTTATAACGCCGAAAACAAATTTTTCACCGATACCCGCGTCCCCAAGACCGAGGCGAGGTACGTAATTTTTTCTTAAAAAAGCTCTCTCTCTCTCTCTCGTTACCAGAAGATATAATAAATTTATGATTAAGAGAAGCGCGTAATCGAACGCAGAGAGCGCGGTTAACAAAGTTTTTATAGGGTCGAGGTATACTGGTGCTCCGCTCCCTAGGCTCCTTGGGGTTTTTTTTTTTTTTTTTTTTTTTCCTTCCCAAGCTAAATCGCGCGGAGGCGACGCCAAGGAGTAGGAGGAGACGACGGGAAAGGGGGGGCAGAGTCAAACGCTGGGCTGAAATTAACGACTCTTGCGGCATAAAAAATCTGTGTAATCAATTATCGAAGCGTTTTTTTTCTTCTTTTTTTTTTTACCCTATATTTCACTACCAATGAGGTTCGGGAAACCCCACTCCCCCCGGGGCGGTACTTTCCACTCACTCATATTTCCTTCGCGTCTTAATCATACGACTTTGGTGTTTTTCTTATCTGCGATTCCGTTCTATTTCGATACCTATACTCGGTTTGGTCGCGTAATTACAACGAAGGTAATCGCACTGTAGTGAAAATAAAGGTTTTTGTTTCACGTGCACCGAGTCACTGAAAAATTACGTGTAGTAGAGGTTTACGTGGGAACATTGGCCCGAGACAATTTTTCGATATTTACGGACGCAAAGGCATTAATGAAACCCAGAGCAAGATAGGGGGTGGGAGGGTGGATTTATTAAGATAGAAGCGAGCGCGAAATTTCTAATAATCGATATGAAAATTACAGGGGTGATCACCTTGCGCCCAAGTATTTAATATAACGAAGGACTTGCGCCCGGAATGTGGATATAAGCTCGCGAAAATAATCGCCGACTACGAGGAGGACGTCGAGGAGGAGGAGGACGACGTCTTTTCCGATAAACAGCTTTGCAGTTTAAGATATTTGCGCCCTCCTTCCACCTCAAGCTCGTCCCTGGCTTGTTTATGTTTCGTCGAGATATGAAAGCTGTGTATACACATAATATACCTGCACGCGAGCACTGTGTACGTGTGTGTTTATATGTATATATATATATATTAACTTTGATGTTTGGAAACGATCTCTGCTTGCGCATGGGTTATAATTATTTTTAAAGGCTTCGAGCTGAGGACCGGAATTACTATTGCTGGATTTCAATTATCCTCTCGTTATTAATTAGCGATGTTTATAATAATCACAGTTATTCGATGTGTATGGCAAAATGCCAGGAATCAAGAGATTGTTTTTTATTTCTTATTTTTTTCGGCTTAAATATAGTTTTTTCAAATGTAAGGGAGTAAAAATTTTTATTTCGTGATGAAGGTAACTGCTTATGTGGACAACACTAGTTATTATTGATGAATGAGTATATTCTATCTAGATAAAACATCCTTGGTTGTAGACATGCAAAAACTAAACGAAGTGATATTGAAGGATCAAAATTTGTGGATTAAATTTAAAAAAAAACCAGCTAACTGATACATTTGTGATAAAAATAAATTGCTCTACTTCAGCGTTGTGCATGACGAAGAGCAACAAAAGATCTAAAACTTCGTTAAGATACGGGTTGAAAAAACAATAGAAAATACGCACGCCCAAAATACTTTTTTTTTAAAAAACGCATCCGACGTGTTTATGCGCAACAAACGGAAAGTTTAAAAAGTAGGTATGTGACACAAGGTACATAGTTTCGAAAAACGTCGAAAGCAGTCAGCAGCGCAAACTCACCTGCACCTAAGAATTTTTCCGCAAAGGTTCCCCGTATGCCTTATAAATATACACGCCCAAAGTCCGCGGATTCGCTGCATAATCCCCTTTACCGTGCACGCGTACACGTATAGGTGGGCGGCAAAAGGGAAAAACACGCGGACGAGGAGGAGCCGGGCCGGAGAACTCAAGGTACGGCCCGGGCACGCGTTCGACGCGCAAAGAGACCGCAGAATCTCCACCCTCGTCGTACAGGTGTGTATATATATATACAAACTTTTTGATCCGGGATCCTGGGGTCGCACTTGTGCAATACGTCAAAGGGAGTCGTGACGGAGTAGCTGTGCTGAAAAAAAAAAAAAAAAAAAAGTAGCAAATCTACAGATGTGAACATGCTAACGTAGTCCTCTGCAGCTTCACTCGTTCACTGTGCAGCCAGTACGCTTTTCTTCTTACCGTCACTATGTACATCACAGTGGGTGCGTGAACTCTCTCTCACTTTGTCGAAACTTTGAAAAACTCCTTGCTACCTGGTTGGAAAAATAATTCATCCATCGCTCGGAACCTACTCGTTTAATGGTTTAAAAAACTTTGCTAAAACCTTGTGAATTCTTACGCAGCTACTATACTGCACTCGTCGAGTAAACAATCTCGTTCGTAGAAAAAACTATTAGCTTTTATTACATCATTTTTACATTTTACAAATGTAGGAATAATTTACAAATCAAGTATATCGTTTATCATTATCAACAAGAACAACAAATTGATATTTCCTGCCTAAAACGCTCAGGCCTAAAAAAGAGGGGCATCGTACGCAATATTCACAATTCGAAGTAACAAAGCCAGGAGTTAATTTTTCGCGGCCCTGCACTTGCGCGACGATGGAGGCTCTGACGGAGTCACGTCGTGGTAGGACCTCATGTGGTTGAAGAGCGACACGGGGCCCTTGAAGTACCTGCCGCAAAGGTCGCAGTGGAACTTGTACTTGTTTTCATGGCACTTGAGGTGCTTCTTGAGTAGGTCCTTGCGGGCGAAGGTGCGCTCGCAGTGGAGGCAGGGAAACTTGTTGGGATTCGTGTGGAAGATGTTGTGGCGCGTGAGGTTATCGAGGCGCGAGTAACGCCGCGCGCAAAACTCGCAGGCGAACTTGTTGCGCTCGGAGTGGCAGCGCTGGTGGTAGCGCAGGTAACGCCGCTGGGCGAAGGCTTTGCCGCAGGCGCAGCACGACAACTGCTTCGACGCGTCCGCCTGGACGCTCAGGTGGCCCTTGAGCTCGCCCTCGGTGGCGAACTTGCGCTTGCAGTACGGGCAGCTCTGCTGTTGCTCGATTGGTCCAGCTTGCACCTCGACCACCGGCTGCAGCCTCTTGTTCGGGGCTATCTTGTCGAGGAGGCCCGGCTCCGTCATTATTTGGTAGAGGTACGTGTCCTTGAACTTACTGCCCCCGGCTGCTCCGGATGGAACGTCGACAGCAACCTCCTCCACCGACCCTTCCCTGGACTTGGCCAGTGCACCAGGGACCATTGAACTCTGAAATCAAACGAGCGTTAAAGTGTACAATAACATGGGTATTCTGCAATAAGTAGCGCCGGAGGGATACACGTATTTTAAAATAGGATTCGTCACATACACGAAGAGGAAATTCGTGCGAACTTGAGGCAGAAAACAAACTGGAGCGTATAGCCTCGTGGCGTAACGTCATGTATACATGTATAGAGTGCAATGTGAAGGTATTGTGTACGACAGAAAGCTCGTTCCGAGAAAAGCATCGAAGAAGTTGGTTGTTTACATATTGGCGTGTGCAAAATAACGATGGTCACGAAATCACACTCACTGTTTTAAACAGCACGGATTGAATTTGTGTATGGCGTATAATATTTAAATAAAAAAAAATAAGTAAACTTATCACGTCACACGAAATACAAGTGTGTGCCCGTACATACGTGTATTCTCAAAAACACGGAGGAGCTTGCGAGGCTATGCTTATACTGTCGACAACAGAGAAGAAAATGAAAAAAAAAAGAGAGAGAAAACTCACCTGTTGACCGGCAACCAAATTCATTTCCTGAACCATCTCTAGGTAATTTGCGAAATTCACGGTCTTCACGGGCAGGGCCGGGCACTTTTTTGCTCCACTGTTCCCCTCGCCGTCCGTAAAAAGCTCTGCTCCCGCGTTTTTTACCCTCGAGGAGATGCCGTCCTTCCGCGGCAAATGCCTCGGCACGCTCTTCACTCGCATTGTCTCGGAAAAATTACAAGCTCACTCCGCGCTGTGTGTACCTATATAAATCAGCTGCAGGGCAGAGGGCACGTTAAAAAAAAAAAAAACAAAAAAAAAAAAAAAAACACCCGCGTGGTCTTGAAAGTGCAAAAATCCACTGCGCAACGATAAATTTATTTTTAGCGCGCAAGGTGCGAGAGAACGCGATATAACACCACTCCGACCTTTCGGCAATCGTAGCTACGATCGAATGACAACTTTGAAGGAATTTGGTATAGGTATAAGAAGTATACGTATATATAGGCACTCAAACTCGGAAAACATGCCCTTTGAGCGACTCGGCACAGCTTAGCGGAGTCGCAACACACACACACACACGCACACCATTCGCGGTTGTGCCTGTAACTACAGGCGTGTACGCGCGCGTGGCAGGTAGATAAGCTGTGCGGTTTGTTTTGAATGTTGTCCCTCGTATATATAATATGCCTACATCAAATCTATATGAAGCGAGATCAGAAATTAATTTTCTATGGAAAAAAAAAGTCGCAGATACACTGAATCATAGTGTTATTATAAAATCAGCACGCATCCTTCCTTCGATTTGATTGAGCAACTATTATTTGTTGAACGCGTGGTTAATTATTATTACGAAACAAAATTTTCTAGAGGAAACATATAAGACATTTTGATAGTGTGTATGGGCCAAAAAAAGGTTATTGATGTAGAAACGCATTCCAAAGGTAAAAGGGCATCGGTCGAGGAGTATTGTATGTTTATAATAATTGTGTGTATAGAAGCGGGTCGAGATACGCTGGTTATGGGAGATGGGGGGGGGAGGGAGACAATGTCATTGTAGCTCGAAAGACCGACTGCTTTTCTTTATTTCCCTAGCGACTTTGCGCACGAGAGCTCGTGACGCGTTTTCTCTCGCTCTCCATTCTTTTCCTTTTTTCGCGTTTCTTTCAATTGTTTTTTTTTTTTTTTTTTTTTTTTTTTTTTTTTTTTTTTTTTTTTTTTTTTTTTTTTTTTTTTTTTTTTGATTCTTGTATTTTTTCAGCGTTTCAGAGGCTCCTCCGTCTTATATACAAGCCTCGGTGGGAGAAATACCTATACACTTCGTATTTGCCCCGGATAATTAGGACTTTTTTCCCGGCCAATTTGGATGAATAATTGATTTCGGTGAGAGTCTCACCGATCTTCTCTTTTTTCCTGCTCCTCGTTTTCTTTCTCCCGTGCATTTTCTTTACCTTGTTTGCCTTTTGAGGCGCACTTTGAGTGACAATCAAGGGGTCGCACAGTCTGAGAGCAGCACCGGCCAAGCTTCTTGATGAAATATTCAATGCGACTCTTGGAATTTAGCTTCGACATCGGATGCCTCGTATACATCATCATAATATAATGGGGACAAAGACAAAAGGGACGCGCGAGCGCTAGCGAATTTTTTTTTTTTTCCAACTCACGATCGGCTCGAACTTATTTTTACCAGACACAAGTGCGCGTGGAAATGCGAGCTCAATATTTTTTTTTTTACACGTGCAGTATTTGGTGCCGAAAAGATTCATATACAAGCTGCCAGGCGCGATAAAGCAACTTTTTTTTTTTTTTTTTTTCGTTCGACGCGGGGCTGTATAGAGGATGCGATATAGAGTGCCGCAAGGTGTACGGTTTTCCCTGAAAAATATGAGTTTAATAAAGAAGAGGGTGTGATGTATGGCTCCTCCCCTCGGCCCGAGCGGGAGGGAAGAAGCTCGCGGGATCAGCCAAGCTTCGATATTCCCAGGTATATTGTGCGCAAGTTACGTCTCGCAAGGCGTAAGTGTGTAGGGGGGCGCGCGTCGCGTTTGGGCTGAAAAATATATAATAATGGAGCGCCTGACGTTTTTATTACATTCGTGACGGGTATCGATCCTGATGAAGTATCGCGTGGCGGCTGTGTTATAGATTCTCGCTTTCGAGAGTTATTTGCTCTATTTACTTTTTTTTTCTTTTTTTTTTTTTTCTGGACGTAAATCACCGCGCACTCTTACTTCGTGCGATACATTTTTTTTTTTGTTATATTTATTACTGGGAGAAGATGGCTGATATTTTTCTGAGTTGCATATCGAGCCAAGTTGATTAACACAGAGCTAGATGTCTTAAGTTGGATTTTACTATCTTAAAATAGTAATAAAAAGCTCGATCTGATTCATAAAATAATTTTAAAAATAATCTCGTCACATACACGAAGAGGAAATTCGTGCGAACTTGAGGCAGAAAACAAACTGGAGCGTATAGCCTCGTGGCGTAACGTCATGTATACATGTATAGAGTGCAATGTGAAGGTATTGTGTACGACAGAAAGCTCGTTCCGAGAAAAGCATCGNAAAAAGATTTTTTTAATTTAATGAGCTAAGCTCGGGATTGGAAATTAAGGTTTTGTGTTATTGTTTCTACCAAATTACATTGAAGAGTTGGGATTGAATAATTCTACAGTCTATCATCGATAGATTTTACTAACCACTGCGCCTTGAACCAGTTTCTTACTCATCTTCCGAGACTATTAATTAACCAACTGGACTATGCCGTCCTCAAATATTATACCAAATGATGTAATCGCAAAATTAAATACTCAAAAACCTACCAAGAAATATTGTTTTCCGAGTACATTTTCTCACACAATATGAACAGTCACTCGATCCATCTCCTCTAACGAAGTGAGAAATTTTTTTTTTTTTTGCTTTTTGCACTAAAAGTTAAAAACAACTTTAAACTACCATAATTTACGACCAGTCGAGAAGCATTGACTCTCTTCTATACATAAATTTAATTCATCCACATCCCAAATAAATGATACCTCGCACGCAGAAACCTCAAGAAGAAGGACCTCTGTATCAATTAATCAATCGAAATGGGCAGCCATAGTCCGCAAGCATGTACAATACCGATGCATGTATATATACGTAAGGGGGTGTACTTATACACTGCGTAACGGCGAAAGCTAAAACAATATTTGGAACGTGACTCGGTGAGGCGTAAAGCTTCGGCTGTTTATCAAAGCCAGCCGTGGATACATGCGGCAGGTATACAGGAGGTAACGACGGCAGTGTCAGTCGAAGCGCATGCATAGAGTATAGGCACCCGTACCATACAACCCAACACCCCCTTCCGCCCACCTATACGTATACCTACAGCCGTCGATAGGCGCTTCTTAGCGTCGCTCACTCACCGTCTCTCTCTCTCTCTCTCTGCTTCTCGAGCGCCGCCGAAGAAGCGGGGGCGGGCTATCGAGGCCCCGAACCTTCTTCCGGCGCTCGCTCTCGAGAGCTTTCGGATGTATCGCAAAATCTATATCAAAGGAAGCGGCGGGGGTGGGGGGTGGCGTCGAAAGGCACCCGGGGGGAGCAGGCCCGCAGCTTTCAAGAACGCTCAGCCCCGTCACATTTCACTGCAGACTAATAACTTCTGAATATTCATTTCGTGTTTCTCTCCTCGGCAGCTTGTCTGCCGGCTTGAACACCCCACCACTCGTCGACCTCGTCCCTCCGCCACGTGTACTTACACCTCTCCTCGCCCATCGCCTCGTCTATACGCGTGTGCACCCTATTTGCACATACAAGGGCCCGCGCTTGATAGCCCTATCGATGGGATTCGTATGCAAGCACCTTGTATACGCGCAAAAGCTCATTAGCGCTGTTTGTTTTTAATTTTTCTTTTTTTTTTTCTTTTTTTTTGTCCTTTCCCCGGTAAGGTTCGATCGGTTACCGTCCCAAAAGAAACTTGGAGGAACGACACAAAAGAAATACGCGAAAAGCTCGATAATTATCCCGAGGAAGGCAATTGTTCGGAATTGAAAAGCTTCGGGGGAAAAACATTCATTCGTACGGGGCGCGGGAGACAAATCGTCCTCTCGGCGGGAGGGAACAAACAAACGATGCGATACCGGAGCGCGTTTTTTTTCCTCCTCTCCCTTTCCATCGTCGAATATTGTCGTTGCCGGCGATTGGTGGCGTCGCGGGAAACAAGATAGGCCGCTCCGGTATACCTATACGCCACAGATACAAAAAGGTACACGGGCAGGGGGGCGGAGGGGGATGATGTTTCTCTCCTTTCTCGAAGGCAAGGGAGAAGAGGGTGTACAGCGAGCTGCACGCCCGGAATGCCACGAGCCAATGGTATACATGTATATTCGCGCGACTGCTTCAATTCTGCCATCCCTGCGACAAATTAGCACGGACAAATTTACCCCTTGCCCTTCCACTCGTGCCACCGATGCTCTTTCTGGATCCCTACTCTGCGCCGCCGCTGCTTGTCTCCCGACGTTCTTTCTCCCGCTCGGTGCTCCTCGTTGTTGTGTATATAATATACACACGTTAATCGCTCCCCTGGGATACACGAGCCCAGAGAAAGGATCCTTTATTTTTTTTTTTCGATCCCGTCACACCTCGCGAAAAATAATCAAAAAGTAAAAAATGTTCTCGTTACCGGCAAGGATGCAGTTGCCATCGGATCAACTACACAGCGTATACAGTTAATGAGTACATGATGTATACCTGAAGCTGAATAAATCTAGAGAAATATACACAAAGAGATGGAAGAAGGAGATGGAGAGAAAAAAAGAAGACGCGGATGAAAAATCTCGCAATGACAGGCATTCGCAAATTCGGCTACCGGGGCTGAGAAGCCATTCGGCGTTACATTACGAGTCAGCAAAGCAGCGGCGCATTGTCAGCGCGCTAATGGCGAGGAAGCGCCGGGGCGATAATAAATACGGGGAAAATGAAAAATTATTAAAAACTTCCTTTTTTTTTTTTTGCGTGTACGTGTGTAGGCCGGCCCCCCCGAGAGGGAGTCGTGACATTAAAAAAAAAAAAAGAACCCGAAGCCAGAGCAAACGAACGAGGCACCACCCCCGCGGTGAGCCCGGCTGTGGCCTTCTTCGTTCGTTGCGCTGCAGCGGCGGTGGTCCTCTGGGTGGGCGTCCGGACACGCGAATTATTTATATCCCGACGACATTACCACCGTGTTAGTATTAGTGTTACGGATGACTTTGATTATCCAAAAAAAAAGGGGGAGCCGGGAGAGAAAGAAGTAAAGAGGAAAAAC